TCTCCCCTCTCAAGAGCCTCTGGCTGGGGTTTCCTGGGGTCTTGCGTTTTTATTTCCCCGTGGCTTCCTTGCCCAGTCTGATCTTGGAGATAAAAGATTTCCTCTCTTTGTTTATGTGGTGGATTTTTACCGGCACCACAGCCTTTGGGATTGTTTTCCTGGAGCAGGGTGGGGGTGGGCACTTGGACTCAGGGTGTAGGCTCTGGGCCCTGCCTTAGCCCTGGGTGTCTTTTTATCCTTTATTTAATTATTTTGTGGTGATTGAGAAGTGGATAGTCACAGAGCGCTAGTCCAGTTGTGACTCTAGGCTGCCCTCTGAAGTTGAAACCTTGAGAAGCCCAGACTGCTGGCCACATTCTGTCTTCAGGAATTGCAGCCGAAAGCAGGACAAAGCAACCCCTGGAGGGGTGTTCTAGGGCTTCTGGAGGGAAGCTGAGACAGCCCCCTGCAAGTCACTGTGAGCTGTAGAGGTCAGATGGCACTGTCTAGTAGAATTGTCTCTTTTATTCTCAGCCTGGACTCAAAATTGTGATCCTCCTGCCTCAGCCTCCCCAAGTAGCTGGAATTACAGGCATGTGCATCCCATGGAGCTCCAGTGGAACCCAGAGATGCTTTCCCACGGAGCCACCACCCACTCTGGCTATTTCTTATGTTGAGACAGGGTCTCACTAACTTGCTTAGGGCCTCACTGAGTTGCAGAGGCTGGCCTCAGGCTGCCAATCACTGGCTTCCCATAGAACTTTCTAGGCAAATGGGAATGGCCTATAATCTGCACTGTCCAGTGCAGTGGTCTCTGACCCTGTGTAGCTACTGAGCATTTGAAACAGCGCAACAGTAGGCTTTTAAATTTTACTTAATTTTAGTTAAAATTGTAGTGACAGCCAGGCACTGTGGTACACACCTTGTAATCCCAGCGACTCAGTGGAGGTTTAGGCAGGAGGATGGCAAGTTTGAGGCCAGCCTCAGCAACTGAGACCCTATATTTAAATAAAAATAAATCAATGTAAGTGACCAGATATTGCACGTTTTGTCTCCAGCTTCTCCCACCCTCCCTGGAGGGCCACTCCATACTTGTACAGTGACCAGCATTGTTTCAGAGGTGTGTCTCCCCTCCCCCTGCTGGGTTGCAATCTTCCTGGTGCATAAGCCTTTTGTCCTCTGCATCCCCCAGGTTATGCCGGTCAAATACTTGTTGCAGCTGATTCATTCTCGCCCTGTCTCCCTGCCTCCCAGGTGCCTTGAAGAGGAGTCTCACAGCCGAGCAGGTCCGGGCGGATTTCCTCACTCTGGGTAGGTCACGCCCAGGGCTGCTGGGGGAGGGCCTCGGGGCTGTTTATTATGCTGATGAGCCCCCTTTCTCTTGCAGGCCTCAGCGAGGAGAAAGCCACTTACTTTTCTGAAAAGGTATAATTCTCATCAAGGTTAAGATGGGTTGCGGGCTGGGGATGTGGCTCAAGCGGTAGCCCTGGCATGTGTGCGGCCCAGGTTCGATCCTCCAGCACCACATACAAACAAAGATGTTGTGTCCGCCAATAACTAATAAATAAATATTAAAAAAAAAAGAGAGAAAACTGTTTAAAAAAAAAAAATAAGATGGGTTGCTTTGGGCTGGGGATGTAGCTCAAGCGGTAGCCCGCTCGCCTGGCATGCGTGTGGCCCGGGTTCAATCCTCAGCACCACATACAAACAAAGATGTTGTGTCCACCGAGAACTAAGAATAAAATAAATAAATGTTAAAATTCTCTCTCTCTCTCTGTCCCCCCCACTCTCTCTTTAAAAAAAAAAAAAAGATGGGTTGCTTTTATTTTAGTGGAAAGGAAAGAAAGGGGAAGTGCTGATGGTGGGACCCTCAAGGCCTCATTTCTTTGGGTGCCACACCAACCAGTGACACAGGGCTTGTGACCCGCCTTGTTTAGTACGTGTCATGCATGTCACATTTTTTCTTCTCTAATTTGATGGAATATAAAGTCTTTTGTTTGGTCGTATTTTTGTTTTTTGTTTGTGTGTGTGTGTTTGTGTGTGTGTGTGGTGCTGGGGATTGAACCCAGGGCTTTGTGCATGGGAGGCAAGCCCTCTACCAGCTCTACCCCCAGCCCTGTTTTTTTGTTTTTTTGTTTGTTTTTGGTACAGGGATTGACTGAACTCGGGGTCACTCAATCCCTGAGCCCCATCCCCAGCCCTGTTGTGTATTTATTTAGACACAGGGTCTCACTGAGTGCTTAGGGCCTCCCTTTGGCTGAGGCTGGCTCTGACTCACAGTCCTCCTGCTTCAGCGTCCTGAGCTTCTGGGATTAATAAATATAGTTTTGGGGTCAACATGGGTTAAGTCTTGGAAGAGAAGAAAACAATCACCTCTCCTACCCCCCAGGTGTGTGAGTGGGGAGGAGCCCTTGGCTCTGTCTTCTCCCCACCCCCTGTAAACACTGAACTGCTGTTTGGGGCGGCGTGGAGAGGGGGTGCGTTTTTCCCATGTTGTGACTCTGGCCTTCGTTCTCCTCACAGTGGAAACAGAACGCCCCCACCCTTGCTCAGTGGGCCCTGGGGCAGACCCTGATGATCAACCAGCTTATCGACATGGAATGGAAGTTCGGAGGTAACTGGTCAGAGCCAGCTCCAGGTCCTTTGGTTGCAGGATCCCGAGGGTTTGGGAGTCCTAGTCTCAAACACTTGGGACCAGCAGCTGCTCCTCCCCATCCCCCTGGGCCAGCTTGCACTCACATGGCTCCTGCGGACAACCTGTAAAATCGGGGTTTTCTGGGAAATCCTTCATCAGTCACCTCTTCACTTATTTTTCTCTTTTGTATCACAGTGACATCTGGCAGCAGTGAATTAGAAAAAGTGGGCAGTATTTTTTTACAAGTAAGTCTTCTTGATCTTTGAAAATGAGGAAAAAGGGCTAAGGTTGTGGCTCAGCCTTAGAGCACTCGCCTCTCAAGTGCAAGGTCCTGGATTGGATCCTCTGCACCACATAAAAATAAATAAATAAAGATAATGTGTCCAACTACAACTTAAAAAAAAAGAAAATGGGTAAAAAAAATTTATTGGTTAAAAAAATTATTAAGCCAGGAAATCCCAGGTATTCTATCCAGGGCAGGAAGATTGCAAGTTCAAGGCTAGCCTCAGCAATTTAGGGAGACCTAATCTCAAAGTTAAGAAAAAAATAATAACTGGGGGCTTAGCACAGGGGTGAATTGACCCTGGGTTCAATACCCTAATACCAAAAAAAAAAAAAAAGAAGAAGAAGAAGAAGAAACTGGGCTGGGGATGTAGCTCAGTTGGAAGAGTGCTTGCCTTTCCTCACATACACAAGGCCCTGGGTTCAATCCCCAAAGAAACTGTGTTGGAGGGCTACGAGTGTGGCTCAGTGGTAGAACACTTGCCTAGCATGTGTGAGGCCTTGGGTTCAATGTTAAATGTCTGTGTAAATACTTATTCCATTGAATTTAAATCAGAGAAGTGTGATCCACCAAGGGTATGGTCACTGTCTTGCCTACTTCTAGATTCACAGATCCTAGCCCTGTGCAATGGCACACTCCTGTGATCCCAGCAACTCAGGAGGCTGAGGCAGGAGGATCACAAGTTGAAGGCCAGCCTCAGCAACTTAGTGAGACCCTAAGCAACTGAGTAAGACCTTATCTCAAAACAGAAAGGTCTGGAGATGTAGTTCATTTGTAAAATACCCCGGGTTCAATCCCCAGTATCAAAAAAAAAATTAAACAGATCTTAATATTATTCCTGAAAGTTTGATTCTTCCTGTGATCATGGGAAGTGTCAGAGCTCCTATGGAGGGTGATGGGGACCACTTCTGTGCATCCTGTGATGATGGGCTGGGGCTCGGGAGCAGAGCCCTGGAGTACTTTGACATTGAATTTGGATTAAAGGGTTTTGGGGAATTTCTTTGCCCAGTTGTCATCCTCTTAATTTATGGGTTTGTTTTTGTTTGTTTGTTTGTTTGTTTGTTTTTTTAGTTAAAGTTGGTGGTTAAAAAAGGAAATCAAACTGAAAATGTGTACCTAGGTGAGTATGGATCCCTGCTGAGCCTTTCCCAGGTTCTCTTCTGTCGGTTGGGCTGGTGAGACCCACCGCCAGCCATGTCTCCAGGGAGAGGGTCTGCACCAGGCTGTGCAGGAGCCACCCCTGACCTTCCCCCTCAGGAAACCTGGTGCCAGAGCTTTGCTAAGCCACCAGCCTGTTGCAGACCCTGCTCTTGAGCCCCTTTGTGAACAGGGAACTGTGGGGGCTTGGGAGGCTCCAAGCATGATGAAGACCAGAGGTTCTGGCTGAGCCTCCCCTTAGGCTTTCCTGTCTGTGCTGGGGAGTGGTGCCATTTCACACACTCCCCCATTTTTCTTAGGGAGCCAAGAACCTTCTGTGTTCAGGACTCTGTCCTTTACTGTGACCAATTTCCCATCTAGAGGTACTTAGATGTATGTGCTAAGCCAAAAGAGAAAACAGTCTGTGGTTGAGGATGTGGCTGAATGGTA